CACGTTCAAGAATTCTTCAGTAGTAGTATCGCAACCGGAGGCTATACGTACATACTTACACACATCTGTTGTTGTTGTTATTATTATTATTATTGTTATTATTATTATTATTATTATTATTATTATTATTATTATTATTATTATTATTATTATTATTATTATTATTATTACTATTATTATTATTATTATTATTATTAATATTATTATTATTATTTTTATTATTATTATAATTATTATTATTATTATTATTATTATTATTATTATTATTATTATTATTATTATTATTATTATTATTATTATTTTTATATTTATTATTATTATGATTATTATTTTTATTATTATTATTTTTATTATTATCATTATTATTATTATTATTATTATTATTATTATTATTATTATTATTATTATTATTATTATTATTATTATTATTATTATTATTATTATTATTATTATTTTTAATATTATTATTATTATTGTTATTATTATTATTATTATTATTATTATTATTATTATTATTATTATTATTATTGTTATTATTATTATTATTATTATTATTATTATTATTATTATTATTATTATTATTATTATTATTATTATTATTATTATTATTATTATTATTATTATTATAACAATAATAATTATTATTATTGTTATTATTATTATTATTTATTGTAGGGGGTTTTCAAACATCTTCACGCAAAATACCCCCCGAGATATAATACCATCTACTTGTACCCCCATTAATCTGACACCAAATATGGAATTGTAATATTGTAATACTAACTCAATTGACATTGGAACTGTCGCAATAGATATAAAAAAAAATATATATTTAAATTAATGATGACTTTATTAAGCAGTACCATCGACATCATTAGCAATTTAGGAAAATTTTGTCTTAATATGTTTCGTGAGCCATCTTACTACCTCTGAGGGTCCGCGAACCCCGGTTTGAGAACCCCTTATTTATTGAAATATTTATCTTGATCACTATGGCAAAGGGGTAATGTTTGCGACTTTGAGTCGTCAGGTCGAGGGTTTGCGCTTCAGCACGAGCTGTTGGAAAGGGCACTCACTTATGGTAACGATCACACCTGCCAAAAGTAATGTCCTTCGCAAAATTCACCATCCAATCCCTTAGTAGAAAAGGGAGTCCATGACATAAAACCGATCCGTTTATTTGATTATTTTTGTGTTTATGAGCTTCTTATATTAAATACTCCATTGCTTATAAGTAACAACAACTTGGTATCGGCTTTACGTCACGAACTCCGTTTTCTACTAAGAGCTGGGACGGTTGCCTCCTTGCGAAGGAGTGTTTGGCATATAACAAGACAACTAACGTAATTACAGATGGCAATTTTATTTTTATTTTGATGAAAGATTTGAACGTATTATATCATCAACGTTTGATTACTTGTATAATTCGTGAAATTTCTGAAACAGAACATATCGCATATTTTTCTAACATGCGAATATAACGCATGTGCAGAATACGAATGCAATTGATGATGGATTAATGAGACTATGTAATAACAGCTATATCTTATATGGCTAATCAAAGAGCGTTTGTTCGTGATATCACAAGAACTTGATAGCATTAGATTCAATAAGAAAATGTAAAGAAATATCCCAGATATTATTAGATCATTTCTAGATGTTTTACTTAAGCTTCTCATTCCCGAATTGAAGTACATCTACTTGGAAGAGTATAAATTCCGACGTGATTAATATTGACAATATAAGCCGTATATGTGTATATGCATGTATGTGTATGTATGGTTATATGTTTTTTTTTCACGTGTTTATTTATTGATTCATTCATTTATCTATTTATTTGATGTATATAATTTTTTGAACAATTAATTCGGCAATTGTTTATCTTCTTTTTATCTTTATGTATTGGTAAGCCGAGAGGGACATAATATATGACAGTGTGTACAGTACAAGGACGATTAGCACGAGGGTCTGCCCCTCTCTTTTTTGTCTCTTACTTTATTTGATTTTCGTGCTTTTCCCTCCAATTCCCTTATATCCTTAATCCCCCCTCCCCTTTTTCTCCCTCCTATCCTATCCCATCCTAAGTCAAATCAAGACCAGGACGAACATAGTAAAGGGAGCTTTCTGATACAGTGACTTTTTTTCGTCTTCGAAGAAATAAACTCGTGTTTCGAGTTACTATTCGCAAGCTACAGCTCCATGTTCAGCGATTTTTTTTTCTCACTCATGGCAATGCTAACAAGGCATTACATAAAAACACTAACTTAACTGATGTCTGTTCAACTTGAATCGCTGAACATGGAGCTGTAGCTTGCGAATTTTGGTTTCGGTTTTACGTCACGAACTCCTTTTTCAACTAAGGGTTAGTACGGTTGCCTTCGCAAGAAGGCAACCGTCCTAACCCTTAGTTGAAAAGGGAGTTCGTGACTTAAAACCGAAACCAAAATTCGCAAGCTACAGCTCCATGTTCAGCGATTCAAGTTAAACAGATATCAGTTAAGTTAGTGCTTTTATGTAATGCCTTGTTAGCATTGCCATGAGTAAGAAAAATTTTTTTTCTTACATATAAAATGAGAAATCGGTTCATGATCATATGAAGGAGGCATCCTAATAATACCCATTTTTCTCTCCTCTCTCCCATCTTCTCATATTGACACCATTGAATAGGTAAATATCCATATTCTGCCTAAGCAAACAGTGGCTTATCAGCACCACTTCCTCCTGTGGACGACAATGAGCTTTATGGAAGCTGATCACATAGGCGAGAATGGTGTCATGCAAACTCTTCTGTGTCCCCTTTTCCATGGCAGGAGGGAAAAGTTAGGATGGGAGAACTTTGAGCTTTATGGAATGTCATCATTAGGGAGAATGTAGGATGTCGTAGCTTCAAGTTTAGTGTATTGGTAGTTATGGAGTTTTATGGACTTTTGGGGATTTGTCGAAATAGTGTATTGGCTCTTTCGCTTTGTAACAGTACAGTTAGTGAGCTTCATGGAACTGTTACATTAAGGTGAAAATGGTATCCTACTTTGCTCTTGTTACTGTGTTATTGATGAGGAAGTTATACAGTAGCAGAAGGTAGATTCATTTGGTTTCGCTTGACTGCAAAGATATTGATAAAAAACTGTTGATACTCTGAAATGAAATGCATTTTAGAACCAGCCATAAAGAAGAGAACGTAATTGCAGATGCTAGATGGAAGTACTTTTTTTGTGTCACAACTAATTCCCATTTGAATAGGGATGGACACAGACATAATGGAGCTGACTTGGGGGGGGGGGGGGAATTAAGGCTGGATACCTTTTCGAGCGCCCCGAGGTGGGATCCCGACTCGCACACACTACCTTAAAGCTACAGCAGCCCGCTAATTAGAAGTGCCAAAAGTGATATTTTTGCAATCCTTGGACTGACCTTTGGTAGGTCATTGGATATAGTGAGCAACTTCTGCTCAAGAAGTCCTTGGTTCAATATTCGGAGTAGATCATACAGCTTCTCTTTGCCAGAGTCATTTGTGGTTATAAGGAGAGGGAAGTAGTGTACCCTCATGTGGTAACATCTGGCAACGTGGTAGGAGCAAAAAGTTTGTAGTAAGACTTGTGGGGTCAGGGGAGGATAAGTACATGTATTAGTTAGAGCTTCAATATTGGCAAATAAAGCCGTCACGCCGCACTCATGAAAATTAGAAGTCTACTGGAAAACCTGTCCTATTTATTCCAGCAATAATAAATCAATGGTATATTTAATGAAAAATGACACTGAAAACACAAAGACAACAGCTCCCATTTGTCTTGCCTACTGAAGTGGTAGCGTTCGCTACTTTGGATTTTCAGGTCGAGGGTTCGCGGTCCGCCACGGTCTGAGGTTGAAAAGGGCATTTAGTCAGGGTAACGATCACACCTGCCAAAACCAAAGTTCTTCGCAAGAAGGCACCATCCTAGCCCTTAGCAGAAAAGGGAGTCCGTGACATAAAACCCAGCACGTTTATATGATCATTTTTGCCTACAGAAGCTAGTTCTACTCTACCTGTTGACTTGCATACTGAAGGTAATTTGAAGCTTTGCATACAGAACTAGCTCCAAGCAGCTAGTTGACTCGCATACTGAAGCTACTTTTAACTTCACCAGTTACTTACATACGAAAGTAAGTGTGTGTGTGTGTTTGTGTGTTTGTGTGTGTGTGTGTGTGTGTGTGTGTGTGTGTGTGGAGCAAATCTCATTATTTACCTATTTATATGTGACTATTAAACCCCATTCGAATGGGTTTGGTCACAGTTAGGTTCGAACAGAGGAAATGAGGCTAGATGACCTTGCTAGTGCCCAAGGCAGGCAAAACACGAGTTATCACTTTTCGAATTCAAATATATTGTTTATTTCAAATGATATTAGATATATTTTTAAATTTGAGATCATGAGATTTTAGTATGGATTGACTACTCATGACTTCATACTTAACACTTTAAATTAGTTGAGTATGTTAAGATTTATAGTCAGAGAAATGTCCATACCATGTTGAGAACAGAGCTTTTTATCCGATCAGCGAAGTTCAGCATCGTTGGGTCAGGTCAGTGCTTGGCTGGGTGACCGCCGGGAAACACAAAATGCTGTTGGCATATAAGGGAACCGCCGTAGTGTGGTGGTGTAGTGTTCGACTCGGGAGGTGATGGATCCACTTTCGAGGCTACGTTGGGGCGTCAAGAAGGGCATCTAGCCTTCATACCCCAGCTTTAATCCGTGTCCACCCCCAAGTGGGGACTAATGGTGACGCAGAATGCCAAAAATCAGAGAAGCAATGTAATGAGGATTTACTTTCATGAAGCGCCAGTGCGGCGTCTGTTGTATGATAACAAACTGCGATATGAACTTGAAATAGGTAATGCAATTTGATCGGTTTTACATCACGGACTCCCTTTTCTATTGAGGGTTAGGACGGTGCATCCTTGAGAGGGACTTTGGTTTTGGCAAGTGCGACCGTCATCTTGAGTGAACGTCCTTTCTAACCTCAGATCGTGGCAGGCCTCGAACCTACGCCCTGACGAATCAAAGTCGCAAGCTTTATCAGTCGGCCACAAGATCTTGAAATAGGTGATTTTTTTTTTTTTGGGGGGGGGGGTTGAGGGGTGACCTTATCCGCTTTGCTTTTAATGCTTACCCACGCAACTGCATCTTTGCTTTTTTTTTTTTTATCTCTACTCCTACGGACTCTCATTATAACACCCTGTAATTCTCTAAGCACGCAAACACTTACGAAATTATGGGGGGGATTGTAACCCACGCTTTCATATAGCATTCGTGCTCACTTTTCGTGAGATCGTTGCTAAATTTTGTTTCAACTCTGAGGTTATTTTTAGGTGATGATGATCGTTACATTCTTTTAAGTTCTCTTAAGCACTAGGAATTATATTTATAGAGTAAGTAACTCAAAGGATCTTCGGAATCGGCATAGAATAGTAACCCCAGTTTGCTCTGGAGTTATTCATATTTACAAGACAAGTCAATTAAATTAACCTAACCCAACCTAGCCTAACAATTTAAGGGATTATTTAACTTTACATGTAGTTCTGTGGGGTTACTCATCTTTAAAAGATCCGGTTCCTCTGTATGCAACACCTCTCCACGTTCCTATGGAGTCGCTGTTCCTCAGTAGCCACCATATTACTTATGTTATTTTAGGCTTAAAGTTTTTACCTTCCTGACATAATCTCTCTGTTGATCCGGGCTTGGGACCGGTACCAATATAAGCTGGCTTGTCTCTCCAGTGGATGGATTATATGTAGTTCAGAAGATGTGGCGTATAAAATGGAAGGAACAGTGTGACTGCTATTATCATACAATATGTAACTAAGTGGCACGCCTTTGGCTCTGATAAATGAGAGTTTACGTTGTGAATGGCACAAGGTATATGGGAGTGACCTAAGGTCGTGAGAAAGCATTTTTTCTCCCTTCAATTCCCCCAAGAAGAACCGTACACTTCTAATTAAGAATATCTATCATCTGTTCCTAGTAATATTGCTCAGTTAGTTATTAGTTGGTCTCTGTCCTGATCCCGAATCCTGGTAATAAGTCACAGGAGAAGTCTAACCTAACCTTACCTACCCATCCAAACCTAACCTAACCTAACCTAACATTCCCTGTGATCTTTTTTCCTGTGACTTTATTACCGGCCACCCTGATCACATATGGGGTACGGTTCCTTGGGAGAAGTTGCAGGGAGCCTCTATACGTTACTTGAGCACCCAACAACATCATGAACAATTTCATTATTTTTTTTTCACGTTTTATGCGTCACAAATAGTCTCCATTTGGGAGTGGACACATACCGCTTGAAGTTGGGGTGACAGATAGTGTTTTTCTTACACTATCCATGTATTATAGGTAGCGAGGTCTGTAATGGAGATGCATCCTCTTCTTTAAAGTTATTTATTAGAGTATACACTTATTTACCACCTCAGTGCTCTCATTGCTATAGTTCCTGTCACTCACTATTCCCGCCCCCTTAGGGGGATGTGTCTAACTATGGACGTAACTTCTGCTCCCGGCAACACTGACTTCTGACTTAAGTGACGTAGGCTCTGTATACTGTTCCGTGGCGCGGGTCTCTGGGTGCGCACTCTGCCCTCTAGTGGATATAGGGATCTATGAAATGCCGTATGACAAGGGGATAAAGGCTGTAGCCATCAACTTCTGAATCGAGCACGCTACCGGTTACGCTATGGCATATATATATATATATATATATATATATATATATATATATATATATATATATATATATATATATATATATTCACCGTGCCTCAAGCAGTAGCGTCCGCGACTCTGAGGTGTCAGGTCGAGGGTTCGCGTCACGTCGGGTCTGAGGTTAGCAAGGGCATGCACTCAGCATAACGATTACATCTGCCAAAACAAGTCCTCCGCAAGAACGCAACCGTCCTAGCCCTTGGTAGAAAAGGGAGTCCTTGACGTAAAACCGGAAAAAAAATATATATATATAATATATATATATATATATATATATATATATATATATATATATATATATATATATATATATATATATATATATATATATATATATATATATATATATATATATATATATATATATATATATATATATATATATATATATATATATATATATATATATATATATATATATATATATATATATATATATATATATATATATATATATATATATATATATATATATATATATATATATATATATATATATATATATATATATATATATATATATATATATATATATATATATATATATATATATATATATATATATATATATATATATATATATATATATATATATATATATATATATATATATAGATATATATATATATATATATATATATATATATATATATATATATATATATATATATATATATATATATATATATATATATATATATATATATATATATATATATATATATATATATATATATATATATATATATATATATATATATATATATATATATATATATATATATATATATATATATATATATATATATATATATATATATATATATATATATAATTATATATATATGTATGTATATATATATATATATATATATATATATATATATATATATATATATATATATATATATATATATATATATATATATATATATATATATATATATATATATATAAATATATAAACATACATATATATATATATATATATATATATATATATATATATATATATATATATATATATATATATATATATATATATATATATATATATATATATATATATATATATATATAATACATATATATATATATTTATATATATATATATATATATATATATATATATATATATATATATATATATATATATATATATATATATATATATATATATATATATATATATATATATATATATATATATATATATATATATATATATATATATATATATATATATATATATATATATATATATATATATATATATATATATATATATATATATATATATATATATATATATATATATATATATATATATATATATATATATATATATATATATATATATATATATATATATATATATATATATATATATATATATATATATATATATATATATATATATATATATATATATATATATATATATATATATATATATATATATATATATATATATATATATATATATATATATATATATATATATATATATATATATATATATATATATATATATATATATATATATATATATATATATATATATATATATATATATATATATATATATATATATATATATATATATATATATATATATATATATATATATATATATATATATATATATATATATATATATATATATATATATATATATATATATATATATATATATAATACATATATATATATATATTTATATATATATATAATTATATATATATATATATATATATATATATATATATATATATATATATATATATATATATATATTTCTATAGTTATATATATATATATATATATATATATATATATATATATATATATATATATATATATATATATATATATATATATATATATATATATATATATATATATATATATATATATATATATATATATATATATATATATATATATATATGAATAATTTTTTTTACCCCGACCGGGACTCGAACCTAGGACTTATGATTACTAAGTCAAGGCGCTACCACTACACCACAGAAGGTTAAAAGGAACCCAACCTTATAGCTTATATCTGCTATACTTGGGAATGAACGCATTCTAACTGAATGCCACTATGTTCATTTTACAGATTCCCCAACCTCACTCGTGGCTTCATTTTAGCATTTAATTCAATTCCCAATCTCATTCGGGCATGAAATATCAAATAAGCACATTACATATGTGAAAACATGAATAATTTTTTTACCCCGACCGGGACTCGAACCTAGGATTTATGATTACTAAGTCAAGGCGCTACCACTACACCACAGAAGGTTAAAAGGAACCCAACCTTATAGCTTATATCTGCTATACTTGGGAATGAACGCATTCTAACTGAATGCCACTATGTTCATTTTACAGATTCCCCAACCTCACTCGTGGCTTCATTTTAGCATTTAATTCAATTCCCAATCTCATTCGGGCATGAAATATCAAATAAGCACATTACATATGTGAAAACATGAATAATTTTTTTACCCCGACCGGGACTCGAACCTAGGACTTATGATTACTAAGTCAAGGCGCTACCACTACACCACAGAAGGTTAAAAGGAACCCAACCTTATAGCTTATATCTGCTATACTTGGGAATGAACGCATTCTAACTGAATGCCACTATGTTCATTTTACAGATTCCCCAACCTCACTCGTGGCTTCATTTTAGCATTTAATTCAATTCCCAATCTCATTCGGGCATGAAATATCAAATAAGCACATTACATATGTGAAAACATGAATAATTTTTTTACCCCGACCGGGACTCGAACCTAGGACTTATGATTACTAAGTCAAGGCGCTACCACTACACCACAGAAGGTTAAAAGGAACCCAACCTTATAGCTTGGTGTAGTGGTAGCGCCTTGACTTAGTAATCATAAGTCCTAGGTTCGAGTCCCGGTCGGGGTAAAAAAATTATTCATGTTTTCACATATGTAATGTGCTTATTTGATATTTCATGCCCGAATGAGATTGGGAATTGAATTAAATGCTAAAATGAAGCCACGAGTGAGGTTGGGGAATCTGTAAAATGAACATAGTGGCATTCAGTTAGAATGCGTTCATTCCCAAGTATAGCAGATATAAGCTATAAGGTTGGGTTCCTTTTAACCTTCTGTGGTGTAGTGGTAGCGCCTTGACTTAGTAATCATAAGTCCTAGGTTCGAGTCCCGGTCGGGGTAAAAAAATTATTCATGTTTTCACATATGTAATGTGCTTATTTGATATTTCATGCCCGAATGAGATTGGGAATTGAATTAAATGCTAAAATGAAGCCACGAGTGAGGTTGGGGAATCTGTAAAAT